ATTGCACTGTTTCTTGCATTGTGTGCTGTGAATTCATAACAGGTTTCAAAGGTTGTGACAGACTGTCTAGCCTGTCCCATGTTCCTTGTTTGTAAATTTTGCTGATTTTAAGTGTTCCATAGTTTTATAAATTATCAGTTTGACATTTTCTGTGCTGCGTTACGAAAGATTTTGCATGGTATGGAAGATTTAACAAACTGTTCTTAAAGACAGCCCTGGTAGAAATACATTTGAATTTGCATGTATTTATGTATTTCATCCATTTCGAAATAGCTCAACTAGCCACATTGAAAAGACTGTGTTAAAACATGAAATAACTACATTCTATGGGGAATTATTAAAGCTTACGACCTTGCAGTAAAGCATTTTGACAGTAGGAAGAGCTGAGCCAAAGAAAATGGCTCGAGAAAGAGACTGCTAGAGTAGCTCTTTGAATGCTGGGTCATAACAGGCTTTTGCCTGTTACAGGCCCCCAGAAACATTTCTTAGCCTAAGCTGAACTTGTGTTTTTCTAGATTTACTCTGGTATTTCTTCCTGCTTCTGAATTTATCAATAAAATCTGGTTTTATGTAAGATAACTTTTGTATGCCTTGGATAAAACAAACAAACCAAAAACTCCTCTACTTTTTCATCTGGGGGAGTGAGTAGGACCAAGGCAATTTGGCCTTGTGGCTGGGCTGTTCATGGGAACAATCTGAGTGTCTCCCTGGCCATGACCACAGACCCACAAGAAGAAGATAATGAGAGAAATATTAAATGTGTTGATTTCAAAGAGAATATGTGTCTGTAATGTGGCTTTAGTGTAAGTTAAACTTGACTTTGCAATATGAAACATTCTGGTTCGTGCTGGGAGCAGGAAAGTTATGATCAATATGCTGGTTTAGTTCCACATAACAGCTTCACCTTTCCCTTAGGTTACGGTTTCTACCTTTCACTCAGTAAGAAACAGGATTTGTGTTAAGATCCTTAATATTCAGTGTTAAGAGCAAATAGAATACTATACGTTCTGCAAGACTGCAAGTAATTTGATGTCAGGGCTGGCTAGATTTTTACATGAAATAGTTGTCTTGAGCTGTGTCACTGTAGAGCAGAAATAGTACATGTGGAATATCCACAAATTGTATTTCTTAGGAATTTCATAGGAAGATACTATTATTGGGTTTAGTCTTGAGGGGCAAGGGTTTAAAACAAATCTGAACTGAACAGCTTGTAAAAGACAAGTTGGGATGAGATGATGGGATTTTCAGTGACAAAAAGTTCTGGCAACTTCTCCTGAGGAGAAAAGCAGTGTTGTAATTTCAGGTTTATGTTGCTTTAAGGGAGGTAAGTACTTCAGTTACTAGCCCATTTGTAACAAGAATTTTCCATTTTAAGCAGCAAGAAGTATCAGGGAGTCTCTCTGCCCCAAAACCTTTGCTGTCTCATTGAATAACACTACTGGAGAGGAGGATATAATGTAGAGTTAACAGTATCTGATAGAAGATGTTATATTGGTGAAATTAACTAATTATTTATTTACTAACTTACTTATTAAGGTTCACTTAGGAATTGGGAAGTCAACTGGGATGAACCCTCAAGGAAAGAAAGCAAGGTTAGGTTCTGGGGAGAAAAACATGCAAAGATGCTGTGGTTGTAGGGTACGAGGTACGACTGAGGAAGGAGTAGCAGGAAGGAGAGTCAGGACATGCAGCTGAAGAGCACAGGGTTGAGAAAGTCCTGCCAAAATCTGGTTACTGTGTGCACTCTGCTTTGGCAGCTTCTGTAGCTGCTCCTGCTGTCTGGGTTTTTTGGCTTGTTCTTCCCTAGCAGTTTTTCTTTAGTCAGTATGGCTGCGGAAGAGGGAAAAAGCAACGCCTAAGTTCTTGCACTTTGAAAATTATGTTCTCCCTTAACACATTTTGATCTAGAAGAACCCAATAAAGAGGAAACATCCTTTCTGAGACCTTTGTGGTTTTGGCTTTTTTTTCTGAGACCTTTGTGGGGGTTTTTTTGTCTCCCTTTATTTGCAGCAGGTCCTGAACCTTGCCGTTGTCTTGCATAACTCATGTCTATAATACTAATTAGTGTATTAGTGTATCTAATGCTAACTTGTGTATTAGTCCTTGTCTTGGGAGCTCCGTTCTGTTGTTTTCACCCAATAGTATTTTAAGAAGTATTCTAGGATACAGAAGCCCTGGAAATGTTGAGTTGTGTGTCTTTTCCTAAAATGGAATTTAAAGTAATTTATCTACAGTATCTCTGAGTATTTTTTTGCCACTTCTGCTTTATGTTGCTTTGTCGGTGATCCCATAAAGAGAAGCAAACTAAACAGATGGAAAATAATGAAACAGGCAAGCTTCAAATTGCCATCAAAGTACATTATATAAATTAGCTAAGGCCAGACATTTTCTTGGATAAATTTTATAGTATTCCTAAGTGTTTATGCTTTCAGTAATATTTAAATGCATTATGTTTATGTGCTGCTAAAGGATGCTAAAATACAGAGTTATTTTTGATTTGACTTCTAAAATTTATTGAGATACAGTATAGCAAGTCAGCCTGTCTGTCAGCTTGAAGCTTTCTTTTCCCTGGAGAACTTTTAAGTACTTTAAATATTCTGCACTTCTGTTTACTTTTTTTGGTTCTTTTGAATTCTTTCTTGGAAGTTATGCTGTAGTACAAATAGTCTCTTGTGGTAGTGTGCTGACTTTGTACATTTTTGTACTGTGCAGGAGTTTTGAAATACATGATAAACTGCTGTGTTTTCCAATGCCTGAGATGCCTTCTACCCCACCCCCCATGTAAATGGAAATATACAATTATGTATATATCCTACCCTCAAGTATGCAATAATTAATGAGACAGTTGAATTCAGATCAGATACTTAAAGTTTTAACATTCTCTATCGGTAGTCACTTTGTACCTCAGTGTGAGTGGGCCTGATTTAAGGTCAGATGAGTACAGAACCAAATCTAGGTGTGAATTACTGCATATCTTCGTACCTGTAGAAGGGTATCTGTCTCTTTAAAGCCAGTTCTGTTGATTAACATTTTATATTCTGTTTGTTACTAGTTCATACATTGCTGTTTACTGTAGGATGTCTGATAGTTGCTAATGTAGATTATCAGCCATATTGTTTTTACATGGTAGATTTTTACATGCAAAATATAGAGGAAAAAACAATGTTTTAGTCACCTAAAAATTGACCAGGAAACACAAAATTTGCTGAAAATCAAGAAGTTAGTCAAGTGAAGCACATTACAAATTTTGTCTTGCCAAGATTTTTGTGTTGGAACAGCAAAGTAAGAGTACCATACGATTTCTGTGAAAATGTACATTATTGCTACAGATTCGTGAGGTATTATGGTCTCCCAAGGTAGTCATTACTTAAGGAAAACTTAAAATATTACAGACTGCTTTCAGATTCGCCATAGAAACAAGAGGGTCAGAATACTGCAGGAAGCATGTTTGAGGTTGTTCTTATTTAAGGTAAGATAGGGAAAAGTGGAAGGAATATTCTCAGTAAAACCAGTGACCATAAAAACATACCGTACAACACAGTATATTATGGGGCTGTGTATGTGGAATTTCTAATGGCAAGTGAAATCTTTATTGGTATTTTTTGGCAGTGAGGATGACTAAATGAGAAAAGGGTAGAATAGCAAATTGTCTTAAGGAGGTGCAGACATACTGGGGCTATCAGGAAGTCACTCCTGCTAATTGTCATGTAAGCATAGAAGTGCCTGAATAGAGACTGTGTAAAGAAGAAAATGTGTTGCTTATCATGCCTTATTACCCATCAGAGCTTTTGCCCTTAGATGTTCTCTGCCATAAACCTTTGAAAAGTGTTACGAAGAAACATTGGGATAAGCGGGTGATGGATGATCAGACGTTTACGCTGCAGGGAGTTTAAAAGGCCATACTGTACAGGCTTGTTAGTTAATTGAACCTTTTGAAATGTGTCATAGCAAAACCAAAATGTAGCGTTAGCAGCGCACTTGCTGATCATAAGGGTGACTGTACATGACAATTTAGAGCAACAACTCTGAAAAGAAAGAGAGACTTCTATTGTTTCAGTGGTTGTGAAAATCAAGATGACGTGCATTTAGTGATGAACTATGAAAAACAGACAACTGATCAAAGGTAAGAAAAACAATAAAGCTTGTCTTTACTGCTGTAAAGTCATACAAAGAATGGACAAGGTTTTACCGGAATTAATCATTATAATTCAAACTGAATAATTTTGTTCACCACTTCATCTTTGAGGGATTGATGGAGAAGTGTGTCTTCTGCATCGAAAACATGGTACCTGGTGGTCATTATAGGATTGCTTTAATTGCACTTTCATCAGAGTTTTAATAATGGTTAAAGTCTTGCTTCTTGTATTCTTCCTTTTCAGTTGTTAGTATAACAATCCTTACACTTCCCGTTCAGAGGCACTGCCTGAATTTGTGCCAGTGCAGACATAATTTACCTAGTCTTCATCTGTTTCCTTATTTGTTTAATCCTAACATCTATGTCAATGTTAGTCATCAGTGATATTTTCCCATTATATTGTTTTATAGTGGCAGATTTACCATGTCTGAAAAGTTAAGCATTGTTAGAGCTAGAGTATGATGTTTCGCAGCCACATGAGGAACATGATATCGCAGCAGCAAAGTTTTCCTGTACCCTGATGTACATACGGGAGGCCAATTTAGTAGCTGTAGCTTATGTCCTTGTTGCTGAGGCTTTCAGTATTGGAAGTTATGTCAGTATTGAAGTTGCTTTTGGGGCACATACCAGATGAATCTTGCTTTAAAATGCTTTTCACATTAAAAAAAATCAGAGTGTCTGTTTTGGTAATTGCAGCTGGATGAAGAATAATTGTTTATTTTTTTAATCCGTAAACATTTTTAGCTATAGGCTTATTTTAGTGTCATGTGTTGTTAGACATCATAATACAGAACGGAATGCTAATTACAAAAGTGACTGTTACGATTTCTTTTGACTTATGGTGGTTGTTGTTGTTGTTGTTTAGGAAACCTGAATTGACTGACTCTGCCTCTCTGCTAGAGACCTTCAAGTTTCTTGAAAATGCAGCTGCAGACTTTAGTGATGAAGAAGATGAAGACGATATTGAAGGAAGAGAGAAAACAATCATTGATACTGCAACAGTGAGTGGAAAAAATAATTGAAAAGTTATGAAGAACAGAAAAAGTGAGATTAATGAGATGCCTGTATGCAGAGTATTTGACTGTGTATGTACACGTGCAAATCATTAATGCATCTTTATGATGGTCTGTCCAAGCATGTGTGCATAAGAGGGATTATGTATGCATTTCTGCGTTTGTGCATACAACTTAAGCTTTGCCATCTTTATTGCTTTAAGTTTTCAGTGACAGATTAATTTTTTTAAATTTTTCTTCCTACTATTCCATATTGCCTAATGTGTTTTATATATATTGAATACATTTTTTAAGGTAGCAGGTGTCCTTTTTTACAATTTTCAGCTAAGTTTGAAGGTAGTGTTTGTAACGTTGCATGTCAAAAATGCATTGTTTCTTGAATATTTGTATAAATGTAGTGACATCTAAAATTACTTGTAGAAATTTATCCTTGTAGGTTACAGAACTGAAATATCACTGAAATAAAATATAAAGAAATATTTTTCTTTAATAGTTTGTGGAACGAAGAAAAAGTATAACTGGAAAAACTCTACCAAGGGGTTAATAAACTTTTTTGTTTGTTTATTCAGTCAAATACCTGAAACTCCCTCTTGAGCTGTACTTTGCTGTACGATTTGGTCATTATTCAGTGAGTTCTGTTTCTTATCAATTGAAATTTGGAGTTAAGATGGATGTGATTGTTTCTATGATGAGTTTTAAGAATGAACACTTAAAAAAACTCATCAGTTTTAAAGAGGTTTTGAAGAGAATCTTTGTAAACTTGTTCCTGTCATCCATGGGCTGTGAACTAATGTCTGAGACTCTTCTGTAAAATCATCTGTAATAGAGTGTGTTTAATAAGTCTGCTGAAGGAATGAAGCTTGAAGTTTAGAATTCCTTCAGGTTTGAAATGGGTTCATTGTATTTAGTGGAAACAGTCATTAATCTTCATGATTAGGGATGTTTGTCTATGTATTGAAGTCTTTACAGACTGACCCTTAGCAAGGTTCCAAGTCAAAATATTGTGATGAAGGTAATTCTTTTTTTTCTCTAGAAGTAAAATGTATGATACAGATTTCATGTATCATAACTGTAAAGCATCTAGTCCATTTTGGTTATTGAGAGAAAAGTAAATTTATTGCAGAACGAATACAGTGAGGTCCTTCATTAATACATGTATTTTGTTTTTTACCAAAATGTGATAAATTTTTTAAAAGCTAGCTTACTTTTGAATTTGAAAGGGAATTGCAGTTTAAACATGGAGGTATCATGTTCAAATAACCGTAATATCCAAGGAGGTATCCAGGATGGACTGATTTTGCCAGATCTGAGCGAATGAAGTCTTGTCAATTGTGTTGTGGTTTGTTGGGTTTTGTTGTTGTTTTTTTTCCTAAACTTGTCTTTTGGTCCAAATTTAGAGCGGTTCCAGAGGTGAGAGTTAAGGTGGCTATTTTCAGAGAAGCAGAGTGAGTTTGGCTTTGCTGCAGTCCTTTCTACAGCATTCTGGGGGGTTGGTTTGTGGGTTTTGTGAGTTTTTTGTTGGTTTTGTTGTTTTGGTTTTTTTTCATCTGTATTAAGAATGTTTGTACTTTTCTGGTATTAAAATAGTGGTGTAGGTCAGTGTAGATTCATTAGGAATTGTTTTGTCACGAGAAGAAAGATCTACAGAAAAACTTCATTTTGACTTAAAAGTTTGAACAAAGCCTGAACACTTATTCCAGATTTACTTATTAATACATACTTTTCTGCTTCTTCAACAACTTCGTAGGATTTTGCATAGAAGACAAGACAGTACTGCTCGGTATAAAGGTGGGTGTGTGTAATGTAATTCACTGTTTTTGTTCTCCATTCTGACCTTTCAGATTGTAAGGAAAAGAGTGCTATCTGATAGCAGTGAAGACAGAGATACAGAAGAAGCTTTGAAAGAGTTTGACTTTTTAGTTACCTCAGATGAAGGTGATGGGGAATCGAGAAGTTCAGGAGATGGAACAGACTGGGGTAAGGAAATGTAATGGATTGTATGAGGTGTATAAGGATTTAAAAAAAAAGTGCTAAGAATACTTGGGTTTGATTGAGGTCTCTGTCACGATCGCAGCTTCTTTTGAGTATTCCTACAGTAAATAATTGGCAGACTGAAGTCCTCTTGACATAATGTTCTCCTTTTTATGTATACTGCTTTAATATAAGGATTCTTCAGGGGTTATGCTTCTTTTCATTGTCTTCTTCCTTTTCTTTAATAATAAGGCAGACAGAATTTGAATTTTATGAGTGGAGTTAATGTGTTTTTCCAGTGACCCATGCTAATGAAGGGCTCTGATAAAGCTGTATTTTACAATTACGACATGAAAGCTAGTTTGTCTTTGCTTTCTCCCACTTTGATACAGAGAGTAATGTGAGTCATAAATACCGAATTCTTGTACTTTCGTTGTGTGTTAGCAATTTGGGTGATATGTACTACTCAGTTGTTCAAAATTTCTTTCACAATCTACCAGAATAATACATCTTTAAGCCCTCTAGTCAGAGAGAGAGATTTCATAAACTGTTCTCTGTCCTTTGAGGTTCATATCCTGCAGCCCAGAATGCCAGCATGCTTTACTTTGACATTATTATGCATAAATATACTGCATAGGGAAAGGAAGAAGGAAGCAAACTGGTTAAATATCATGATGGGGAGTTATTTTCTCCCTAAGCTGCTCTGGAAGGTTTTAAGAGTAAGTGGACACAGAGGGAGCTGTGGAAGGTGAATGGGAAATAATTTATCTTTATAATGGAACTGCAACTTTGACAGACAAGCCATCATAGCTGTGCTCTCACATGAGCTAACAGCTCTGAGATACTGTATTTCACTGAACCATGTTTAACTCCTGGTTGGACTCCAGATTAATGTTAAGTGTGGTGTAGTCTCTGCTTAAGAGGATGTGTCTCACTATAGTTACATACAGCAGTGAGTATTCTGTTCACCAAACAAATTTAGGAAAGTTATTGTCTTTTACAACAAAAAAAATTATTAGGTTGTTCAATATTTTCTTCAATATTAAAATTTTATACCTCTACACTTGGTAAGTGTACCTGTTTTTGTGTCACTGAAATTAATATGCCAACAGGAATTTTTTTGTTCTCAAATTCACACTTCTGGTTTATTTTTACTTTCATTGATGACAGCTGAGTACAAATAAGCAAAAGTCTAACATTAAAAATAAATTGTCACAGAAAGTAGTAGTCTCATTTCTAGAAATACTAAGGGTTTTTTTGAGTTATAGATGTCCATGATTTTCAGTTACTTGTTTCACAACCTGTCTTTTATGGTAATTGCATATGAGAGTAAGCTTCTTCAAGGAACTGCCATTATGAATCACTTACATTAATTTGATTTAAGCAAAACTGTTAAATGTAGCATATAACAGTGATGTTGTAAAAAGAGGGTAGAAGCAAACAGAGGAAGTCCTTGCTTTGTTTTTGGATCTGAAGTGTTACTCATCAGTTACAGTAATCTGTTGAACCCATTTGGCTTAAAAGGTCCTCAGAAGTGTTCAGGTAATTTTTAAACTATAAAGGACTTGCTGAATACTAGTTCAGGATCCATTTGTGAAGTTGAACAGAACCTGTAGGATGCAGGAAGCATCCTGGGACAGTCGGTAGAAAATTAATGCATGAAGTATTTTCCTGGCAACAGTACAGTCTAATATAAATCCATTAATTTTTTTTTTTTTTGTTGAAGGAGAGCAAAAAATCTTGTTTAGCCAGGGAGGAAAAGCATGATTAAAACTTACAATGTGGTCCCAGAAAGAATGCATACTTGTTTTCTCTCAAGCATATAGTTTCATACCTTTTCTTAATGTAAGTTTTGATCATTAATGTTCTTCATGCAATTTTTTTATTAGTAGTAGTACTTAATTGGGCATATGTAGTAAGAAGACATGACTTAGCCCACAGACTATCTTTTTTAGAGTCTCTCTTCAGCTTATTAATATCTCTGTCTTTTCATAGCTGCTGCAAAAAGACTAATGCCTCAAGACTTTGGGTCTTGAATTAATCTGTCACTCATGAATGTAGTATCGTGACTGAAGAATTCAGAGGAGTGAGAGTTCATCTAGTCCAACCTTCTGCTCCTTTTCATTTGCAGCAGGTTACTGTGGCTGCCTTCTCGTCAAGTTTTGAGTATCTTCCAAGAAGGGAGTTCCCATAAACTCTTCGGGGCAGTAGAATCACAGAATAGTTTGGGTTGGAAGGGACCTTTGAAACTTACATAGTCCAAACCCCCTGCGGTGAGCAGAGATAACATCAACTACATCAGGCTGCTGAGAATCACATCCAGCCTGGCCTTGAATGTCTCCTGTATTCTGGTACTTGACTGTCCCTGTGTTAAGAAGTATTTTGTCCTTCTGTGATGCAAGTCTGATCAGAGTCTGTCTCTGTCTTCCCTGCACCTGCCCATTGGGCATTTGTAGGCAGCTCTAGGATACCTCTTTTGCTATTGCTGAACGCTCACAGTAGTTTCAGCCCATCCTTTTAGCTCATCTGCTCCAGTTGCCTTAACCATCTTAGTGGCTCCGCTAGACTTTCTGTGCTATGTCAATACTAGATACTGAGCATTATACTTTCAAGGCTTCTCAGTGTAAGAAATATTATACTGTAGTATAAAAGGTGTGCTCTCACAAATGCCCTCACACTACTGGCTACGTTTTTGTTAATAGAGCCCAGGATATGGTCAGTGGACTTTGCTGCAAGAGAATGCTGCTGATTCCTCTTCAATTTGATGTTGAAGAAGGACCACCTAGGTCTTTTCAACATCGTTAATTTCTAACAAATCAGTCCCCATAATAACACATGTCCAGCTGTGTATTTTCTGTCCAATGATAGTGGCTCCTTCAGGTTGTGATTGATAATGTTGTGCTTCCTCTACAGGCATTTAGTGTCTGCAGGTTAGTCTGAGGAGAAGTTTATTATTGTTCATATTTTAAAAGGTCTAGAATAGTTTATTGATGTACAAAGCAAACTTAGTCTGAAAGGAATTAATTTTTAAATAATAAAGTTGAGATTTTAATGAAGAAAGCAAAACAAAGAATTTAAAAGAATTTTGCAGCTGTAATGGTCATGAAAATAAATATATTTGAGGAAAAGCTGTATTACCTCCCTTCTCTCACAAATTACTTTTTCTAAGCTGCCTCAATGCAGTCTTTCCATAGATGGAAAAAATTGCTTTTTTGTATGTGAACTCATGTAAGGTGTTCAAAATCTCCAACTACCATACACTGGAAGAATACTTCTCTGTATCTTGTCGCAGGGGAAGCAATTTGAGAGAGATTTAAAAATAAAAAAGGGGGATTTGTTTTTTTCATTAGGCACATTGAATTTTTTTTGATATTTTTTCCAAAGACTAGTAACTCGGGCCTTTTCCTTTCTGTGAAATTTCATGGCTTTAGTGCTTTAAGGTTTTATTCAAGAAAACCTTGGTGACATGTATACTATGTTCCAAAATTATTTAAATGTGCTGCTACTTTAAGTGACAACATAGCACAAAGACAATAAAATGAGGTTTTGAAATGGTGCAACATCTGATTTGTGAAGTTATGTTGACCAGTAACATAGCTGCTACTGCTTCTAGATATAGTAATTCTTTCCCTGGAGGAAAGAAAAAGCTGAAAAGCGTATCCTGACTTTTTATAAAGTAAATATTGCTTACATTTGTGAACAGCTGTGTGCTTGGTTATAGAAATTAGGCATGTGAAATTTCACCTAATTTTTTTGTTAAATTCTGAGCGAACAGAAGTGGAATGTGAGTAGCAGTTTTACAGCTTTCACAAGCTTGGTGCTATTTTTGTCTGTTTAAAATAAGACAAATGCCATTGACAGCAGCTGTTACCTCCTTCAGTGGAGATCACTTGGTGACATTATTGAAAAAGGATGTTTCATTTGTTTCACTTTGTTTAGAAAAGGAAGACCAGTGTCTCATGCCTGAAGCTTGGAATGTCGACCAGGGAGTAATAACCAAACTCAAGGAACAATACAAAAAGGAGCGCAAGGGGAAAAAGGGGGTGAAGAGTAAGTGGAAAACATTGCACCTTAAAATCATAAATCTCACATCTTTCACACCCTTAATTCTATCTCTCTTTCAATGTTTTCCTAAAATTACTTACTCTTTTACTTTGCTGCTCCTGACTGCTTTCCTGTTCACCAGTTCTCGGGGGTTGAAATTAATGACAGTCTATCAAGTTACCTGATAAATAGTTGGATTAGATATGACTTCTTCCAACCACGTGTTGGATTAATTAAAAACCCTTCCTTCGAGCATGGATTATACTTCTGTTACTCAGAAACGTAAATTTGAAAATGCATTGGTTTAATACTTCATACTTTAATATAGAAGACTTCAGAACCCTTTCTTAGCTGAAAAATGCCAGTTTCACAGGAAGAGTTAACGTCTGGTGTGTAAATAAAACAACCCAAAAATAAACCAAAACCAGAAACTGTCTTGAGTATCCTAGTAGATGACAGAGGGAGAAAACAGGTTAATTTCTACCCCTGTTTATACTTAACATTCACAACATGAAAGCCATGCTGTCATCATAATTTGTTATGCAGGGCTCGAAATAGGAGGTAACTCTGAACATCAGTTTATTTGTAAATCACAGGATTTATTTATTGATGTTCAGACCTGTGGTACTAGCCTGTAAAAATGTTGGGTATTGTTATCTAAACAAAAAACTGTGATCAGTATCTGAAATACAGTTTCTAGCCCTGTATTGTATTTTTGTTACGTTTCTTGAAATACAAATGTTTTGTAAAATCTGTTTTTTGAAAAGTGAGCCTTAAAAACTTTTTGAATTCAGATGAAATGCTTAAAATGAAACACTGTATTCACAGCTATGTTTCAAACATCTAGCCATATTGAGAAGTCATGTGTGAATGATGTAAATTAATAATATTGTCTGTAGTCCAGTAAGGAATTTGAGGGATGTTTCTCCCTTTGTGGGAAGATGCTTATGAATACTAAGGAAATTCTCACTTCCAAAGAGACATGCATAATACTGCAAAAGATGTGAGATCCTCACATTGGGGCTGGCTTGTTTTGTTACTTTTTCTATTGATACTGTGATAAGCTGCTGCTCAGCAGTTGGTTATGTTGCTGAAATAATGCTATCAAATACACAAACTAGCCCTCCTGTTTCTAATGGAAAAAAAAGTAAATCATTACCGTAGTCTAAATTTCTGAAGTGATATTTTTGTCATCTTTGGAACCATTTGGAAATCAATTGCAAGTCTGACAAGAATCTGAGCTGTCCAACTAAAGTGTTCATGTTTCACAAAATTGATTCTAAATTTCTTTGTAGTTAAGCTAGAGAGGGCATGTCAACGTATGACTTGAGTGAAATTGATTTTTGTAGCTTGTCTGTAATTTTTAAAGTATGCAGACATGCCATGTAGTTCAGGGTGAATAGCTGCAGGGTTAACTTAGCAGAAATTATTTAACCAAACTGTTGAAATTAATTCTTAAACAGCTGCTGTGCTTTTTATTTTTGATAATAAGGCAGCACTTGGACATCCAGTGCTCCTTCATGAAGATTACTGCTCAGTACATTTGTAGTACCTTTTGGATTGATTTGATTGGTTTGATCTTGAGAGACCAAATGGTTTACTGCAGTACAGAAATTAAGCATCTTTCCATGGACAAACCATCTTTGGAAGGGCATCAATACAGAAAAATCAGGAATAATCACAGCCTGTTTTCAGCTACTCATGATATTGCACATAGTGAAGAAGAATGTGAGGAAAGAAGTCTGGGGGCAAAAGAAGGGACTAAATATCTTGATGTTAAATTGTAGAAATTTTGTGACTTATGTCATAAATGGTGGTTAAACACAGAGCTGCCACCAAGTAAAATACTTTTTTTATAAATCAGATATGGTAAAACAATCTTGCAAAATCCTACTTACTGCTTTCATGAGTCAAGTAATACTTTTGTGACAGACAAATTAAATGCAATTTAACTTGTTATCTGTCATAATTAGGGTGGTCAAAGTAGAATTTGTAACTGCATTAGTAAGCTTTCGATTTTGCAAGGCTGTAGTAAACACTCCTGTGAAGTAATAAGAGAATAGAATCATAGAATGGTTTTATGAGAGAATACATATATTAGAGTACACTTCTGTGTTAAAGCTGCTTGAAAATAGCTGTATTATTTACTGGTCTAGGAAAAAACATAATGGACTATGGGTAAGACATTTTCCCATTCTTAATTAAACTTACAACAGGAAAAACTACCGAAGATATGTTTCAGCCTCAATCCTATATAAAACAGTCAAAACAGGGATGTGGGAAAATGATGGAGCAAAGCACAGGTAAGTGTCCAGAAGGGCATGGGTCTTCACCATACATAGCTTCAGGAAGTAGGCCAGTGAAGCCAGTTGCATTTATATTTTAATATAACTTTTTGGATTATGTAGTTCACGATACTACACTACTGCACAAATAAATTTAAAATAATCATGTTGTCATAAGAATATGATGCACAAAGTACCTAATGCACAAATTTTAAAATATTCACAAATGTCAGCTATTGTTTCAGAACAGTAAATATTCTAATAATCATTGTGACTCAGTTGGAGGCATTCTTCAGCATCCTATGCAAGTAGCAGTATGAATTTATAAATGTGGGGAGAATAATGCGTTCACAAGTCTCAGTTGCTTCTGTCACTTTCTTTTCAAGAAATTCATTTCATGCTGGATGATTAGTTACCGCTAAAAATAGGTGCTCATTAGTTTTTCTGTGGTATCGTTTCTATGCAAGGTAGGATCCATTGTTGCATGTGCTGCTGTAGTGTATCTGATATAAGTAATGCCAACATGAGCTGTGCATAAACCGTTTAATTTTTTGTGTTTTTTTTTCTGGTTAGGGCCCAACAGGTCAAAGCTACAGGATATGCTTGCAAACTTGAGAGATGTTGATGATCTCCCTTCATTACAGCCATCTGTTGCACCTTCTTCTAGGCCCAGTAGCTCAAGGCTCATTGAACATGAGATAAACAGGACGGATGAAGGTAAGCATTAAAAATGTGCATACACCTTTGTAAAGGACCGATGTTTATAGTTACTTTTTAAAGATTATCCTCTAAGACTTTTGTAGCACTTTACGAATACTGATTCAGCACTGTGAGTCCTAAGTGCAATAAACGTCATTCCTATTCCTCCCCTTCCAGTCACTGTTAGTGAGGTCAAGACACCTGCTTACTTAAAATCTTCACTGAATGCCTTTGAACATGATGGAAAAAACTCATTTGGCACTTGGTGGCTTTGTAATACGAGGATCTTAAGTCACTTGCTTTTGTTTGTGCTCAGGCCTGGTGGTGAAGTGTGGAACTAAGTCTCGTGATGCAAGAGCATTTGTTTTTTTCACATCAACATAACTTTACATTCTATATACATACATATACACACACATATCATAGAATCACAGAATGTTTGGGTTAGTTCCAACCCCCATGCCCCAGACAGGGACACTTTCCACTAGACCAGGTTGCTCAAAGCCCTATCCAACCTGACAGTGAACACTTCCAGGCATGGGGCATGTATGTGTTCTTTATATGTGTGTGTTCTTTTTTGGTTTTTTAAGTGCAAAGGTAGAGGCTCTGGAGCTGAATGCAGGTGGCTAGGTATAGCTTTTAAATGCACGTGGTAATTGTGTAGTGAATCATACAGAACAATTTACAGCTTGCCAGTGTATTCATTTCCATAGTGTGTTCCAAAAATTAAAAATTACTCCTACAGGCTAGTTCAAGTATGCAAAGCCATGCATCTTGGCAATAAGGCACGTTGTTACCTTCATTAGTATTACGTCCAAAAGCTGCTAAGTCATCTGTTTAATTCAATGTTTGAATTGCTATATATGCAGCATAATAAAATAAATGTATGAGGCTATAATAATTTGTAGAAGATCATATATGGTCTTTATTTAAATGGTAAATAAGTCTTTTGAAAATTACCAAAAATGTGGGTTTCAGTGAGCAGTCTTTCAGTGTGTGTGCAAAAGTAGGTTGGCCAAGTTATAATTAAGATGCGTAGAAAGCCCCGCCATGTGGCATAGTTACCAAAGATCTCAGTAGTTCTATTTCCTACATGCTCAGTGATTTATGAAAGAAGGGAGTAACTTAGCAACGCTTTGAGAAGCGGAGGAATTTTTTGTTGGATGTTTCCCTTCCAACTTGTCTCACATGTGCTGAGAGCCATATTAGCAGACCTCTAGTTTTGTGTCCTTTCAAGAGTGGGTTTTTAATTCACAGACTGAGGTGGACTCTCATTAAATGGGAAGAGGACAGCTGATTGCTCTTAGTCTGAGTTCAGTATTAGAAACTACTAGCTGTGTGTTCCTTTATAAATCTGAGACTATATTTTTGGCATACAGGTTTTTTTATTCTAGTAACTGCAAATACGATCTCCTATATGTATTGTGTGTTAAGTGGAATATTACATCGTAGGTTCAAAAGACAGAAAAAGAGAATGGTGGTTTAGACTTGAGGGTGAAGAAGGTCAGAGATGTTTGTGATTAAAAGGTAATAACTGAGAGGGTTAAACACAGAGATCAAAGGGCTTTTATTTAATTCTAAAAAATAATAGAAAGCAAACAGGACACTCGATAGTAGTGTAAATATGGAGTGGAAAGAGCATGGAAAGGTTAAGTTATTTTATGCTGGTGGAGAACTGAATAGCATCTGAACCTGATGACTTTGGGACAAGGTGGGGAAGCAGCCTGAACGGATCAGGCTATTCCTTGTAAAGCATTAGTTTGGTTGGTTTGAGCTTAGTAGGTGCTGTTAGACCAAATAAGACACAGAATGAGATGGTGTTTCCTTTTCTCTCTCCTTGGTAGCAGTGGTATTTGCCAAGGCTTGTATTTACAATGGAGCTAAAGGAGAAAAAAAATTAAATTTACTGAAAACCCTTGTAATTTGAGACAAAAGATGTATAAAATTGAGTGAAGTCTCTCATGTCCAGAAGATTGCATTGTAGACATGCTTTTGGATATGTGTGGACATGGTGCTAGGAAGAAGAGTCCAGCTGCCCTCACCAGCTATTCCTGTCTACCTGTTTGCTACTTCCCCAGAGCCTATTTGCATATTTTATAGCAGAGTTAGGGAAGGGCCTGAACTTTTCTGTGTTCCTTTTGCATTATATACAGGTGAATGATAGTGTACTCTTTTCCACTTAAACTTGAGAAGAAACTTCTTCTCAGTGAGGGTGACAGAACACTGTAACAGGCTGCCCAGGGAGGTTGTGGAGTCTCCTTCCCTGGAGACATTCAAAACTCGCCTGGACACATTCCTGTGTAACATTATCTAGGTGTTCCTGCTCCGGCAGGGGGATTGGACTAGATGATCTTTTGAGGTCCCTTCCAATCTCTAGCATACTGTGATACTCTTCCCTCCTGTAGTTAATTACACTTAATGTCTTGAGTCATGCACACCTGAAGTGTAAGTATTACGTTCAGAGGGTATTGTTTATTGGTAAGTACAGTGATTATCTCTAGAATGGTTATTTTTTTATGCATTTTTTTATATGTTCTTGCCCTCAGCTACTTGAGATGTTTAGTATTTGGGAAGTGGAAAGTATGATTTTATTAATCAGTCTTTTATAAACCCATGTTTCAGGATTTTTTTGTTTTGTTTTGTTTTCTTGCAGTGGAAGCTTTAACATTCCCTCCTTCTTCAGGGAAATCTTTTATTATGGGAACAGATGAAGCCCTTGAAAATGAGCTGGGTCTTGGAGAACTGGCAGGCCTTACAGTAGCCAATGAGGCAGATTCACTGACTTACGATGTAAGTGGTTATTAGTAGAAACTCAAGGTTCTACTGTCTATTTGCTGAAGGCAGATGCAAGTTACATGTGTGTAGACTCAGCAGAAAACATTTCCCTGATAAAATTATGCTGCCAGAGAATGTCACAAATTTTTACTTGACATATCTGTTCTTCCCATACATAACAGCCTTAAAGCTCTCTGATAGAGATACAGCTGTGTACTTGTAACCCCAGTGATGCTGAGCAAAATTAGAAGTAGCATGGCCACCAGATTAAGGGAAGTTAATGTCCCCTCTGCAGGGCGCTGGTGAGGCCATAACTGAATGCAGTTTTGGGATTCTTCATTTCAAGAGGGTTGTAGAGAAACTGGAGAGAGTGCAGTAGCATTTTCCTGTTGAGGAGATGTTAAGGGAGTTAGTTTTGTTCAGTTGTCAGGAGGCTTATGAGTGCTCTAGTAGTAACCTAGAGGTACTGGAAAGATGCTTACAAGGAATACGGAGCCCAGCTTCTCCATAGTGCCAGGTGTTAAGAGGAAACAGTAGCAACTTATGGAAATTCAGGTTGGACACTGGGGGAAAAAGTACTGCATAGGAGGTGGTACTGAAGCGAGTTAATGTCTTTTTTGGTGACACGGATAGTGGGATTGAGTGCGCCCTCAGCAGGTTTGCTGGTGACTCCAAGATGTATTGTGCAGCTGACATGCTGGAGGGAAGGGATGCCATTCAGAGGGAACTTGACAGGCTGGAGAGGTGGGTCAGTGCAAACCTTGTGAAGTTTAACAAGGCTGAGTGCAAGGTCCTGCACCTGGGTCGGGGCAGTCCCAAGCACAAATACAGGCTGTATGGAGGGTGGCTTGAGAGCAGCTGTGAGAAGGACTTGAGGTGTGTTGGCTGACGGAAAGCTCAACATAACCCAGCAATGTGTGCTTGCAGCCCACACTTGAGAATATTGACTTCTGTTTGTTCACTTGTTAAATGCCTTTATGAAGCCCTGTGGTCAGGAATTCATAGTCATGCTTACCTCAACTCTTACCTTTTTCTAGTGCTGACAGTTTAAAAAGAGTTATTTACGAAGCTTCTTGCTTCTGTCACTGTGCTCTTTATTGAAGAAAAATGAAAGGCTAGTTTTTCCATTTCAAATTTCACTGTATGTGTAGCTAGCTTACAAATAACATGATGTGGTTTTATTTTGGACTGCTTAATACTTTCTTTTAGCTGCCAAATGTGAATCAGATAGGATTAGTGGAAATCTAGTATTTTCTTTTAAGTGGCAATTTTGAATCATATGGAGAGTGAAGTTGAAAGATTCATGTGAATTGGTCTTTAAATGTGTTTGCCCTCAAGAGCTGTGGATACTTTCCTATTTCAGTCCCTTTTGTCCTACTGACACTATTACTAGATTCTTCTAAACCATGGCAGCCTCATTTAATGGCTTGAGTTTTTTGCATGTTGCGGTGGCTGTCTGTAGATTAAAGAGTGATTTTCACCTGGTAAGAGAAATTATGAATTTATTACTTAAAAGATAATTTTTTTCATCTGGTGGGTAAGTTTTCACAATGTCTCACAAGATTAAATTTTCCTGCTTGCTAGCCAGTACTCTCAAGTTTATCTTTTCTTTTTCCTTCTTTTATATATTGTTGTCCTAACAAATGTTCGCTTTGGTTGGTTCTGGTTTTCTGACTAGTCTTCTGAGTAGATCAAGAAGCTTCATAAGATTATAATAGGCTGAGTAGCGTACATGAGAACGACAGAATCATTTCATTTAATATTATATATTGCATTGGAGTTTTGGGACTTTGCAGTAGGTTGTTGCTTGATTTCCTGCAACTGAACAAGACATGTGTCTGTAACTGTACTTGCATATCATTGCTGTCTCTGGAGTTTTCAAGTTGTCTGTATAGACACAAATATTGCTATTAGTGGTAAATCCATATCAGGTGCTAATTTTGGGGTTAAGCACACACCACCCCCAGCAACAGCTTTTCAGGTCTCAGATTACCCCACTGTTGTATTTTAGTAGGGAGAGAGAAAACAAGGCTGGCTGCTGCATTAGTAACCCAGCTTCTCGCAGCTTGTGAGAGGCTGGTGGGTGAAGAGAAGTGATGGTGCAGCCAGACAGGTGGTGTGTCAGGGCTGGGATCTATTTCATCTATGCTGCTGGCTGGTACTGCACTCCATCTACTTCCTGATTTATAAACTAATAATCTTGGACTCCTTTGGAAGAACATCTTTGAAGCAATTGGAGAATATTATACTGCTAGCACTGGCATGCACTGTTAGGCCATCTGAGGTGTCTTCGTGGCTTTCGCAGATGTGATGCAGGACCTGTGCTGCTGGTATGGGAGCTGGAGGGCAGGAAGGGTTCCCTCCATTACCTAATGGGCATTAGGTGTCTGTGTTGCCAAATTCCTCTCCAGGTATCTGTTAATACTCTGTATGTCTTGTAGCCTTTTAGCTGAGACATTCTTGGCCAATCTCCAGAAAATCTGCCAGAGCTGCTGACTTTGCAGTCCTGCCTCATCCTCACACCAGCTCAGGCATTTGTCTGTTCCCTCATTGAGCCAACTCAGCTCGGTAAACTGGCAAAGAAATTGACTTGTCTCCCTGAGCAAGACAGTGCATAATTACTAAGAAATATGATGAGGCTAAACATGCTGTTTGTTACAACTCCTTTCTCATTGTTTAAAATCAATAGAACCTCCTAATTGAATTATGTTTTTATTATTAAATATGAAAGTAACAGAATTTAAGAAAAGGCACTTCTGTTCTTAACCAACATCACCCTGCCCCACATTCCAGAATGTAGAGTGCTGAAGTGGCTCAAAACAGTTGTCTCTTACTTGCAGTTAATGATACAAAATCATTTGGGATTATCTGTGGCTTTCAACATAATGAAATCGTCAATATTTGCATTACAATTGTTTGTTTTCCTGGTTTTCCATAACCACTATCAGAGTGGTTATGAGATGGTAAATTCAACTACAGGAGTGTTGACTGTCAGAGTGATAAAACTCTGTTTAGCATTTCAAGTCAACGTTTGTTCAGAGGAGCAATGTTGAAATAACTTTTTTTATTTATTTTTTTAATGATCTTTCTGTTTGGATCTGCTAAAATGCATTTATTGCCAAATAATTGTGTCTGTATATATGATAACTTACTGCTTTCCAGTTACAGTGTGTAGCCAAAAGTCTTTTTTTTTTTTTCTGGCAAGCTTTACTCGTCTTACATTATTAGAGAGCTTGTGTTGCCTTAGGTGTGTAAGTTAGGTTGTGTTCCTTTGTGTGCTGCCAGACACTCCTCTGTTTCTCTTAGATCTTTATTTCAGAGATGCCATGTCAGTGGTACTTTGGATATTCAGGGACCACAGCTTGCTTGAGTCAGGCCCAACGTTAACGAATGATCCAATATGTATAGACAAATTTCAGATACCAAACTGAGTTCACAGCAGTATCGGTCACAAAGGTACTTCTCAGCTTTTAAATTGTGTAACTTAACAGGCATGTGGAGTATTTCAGATTTGCACAGAATTTATTGCTGTGGACTTGACATTACTTGTTGCCTTTGTGGAATACATCTGTGTTTGTTCTCATTTTGAATTGCCTGATCAGTGTTACAAATGGACCGTTACTCAAGAGCTGGTTGTTATGAAAAGCGGGTGAAGTAATTTGACATCTTCTGAAAATGCCAAACTAAATTTCTCATTTTTCCCTTTCCTTGTGCCTTCCAGATTAATTACAATTTTGGCATGTTTTTTTTCTGTTAGATAGCAAACAATAAGGATGCACTGAGAAAGACTTGGAACCCCAAATTCACATTAAGAAGTCACTTTGATGGAATAAGAGGTCTCGCTTTTCATCCGGTTGAACCAGTCTTAATAACAGCTTCAGAGGACCATACATTAAAAATGTGGAATTTACAAAAAACAGCCCCAGCAAAAAAGTAAGAATGTTTTTACTTTGTTTCAAAAATCATTTTCATTTATAAAGAAGAAAAAAATATTGTAGATTCCACTTCACTGGATGGCTCTTGGATTTAATGGAAATTGTTCCTTGAATGTGAAGAGTAGGAAAACAAGCTCTTAGAGAGGATTGAGACTTTTAAAGAGTGCCAGAAGAAATCCATGTGTATTTGTGAATGTGTTTTGTTTGTAAAAATGAAAACCACTTACTTTTTTTAATATTTTCCATGTTGATAACATGGAAAATTAATATACTAATGAAAATATTTGGATGTGGCCTGTTAGTGTGCTTGCATGTGTGTATAAATGTATAAAAATGCAGTTTTATATATATGCATGTGTATGTATATACATATATATGCATTTACATGTGTACACCTTTCAGCTTTGACTGAGATATTGCTAGGTTCCTTTGTACACTGTCTCTTGTGTGTTAGTGGGGATTTTCAGAAATGAGAGCAAATTTGCAGCAGCTCTAATACAGTAAGGGAGTACATCATACCTTTTAGGAGGACTGAGCAAAGCGTGTGGGCTTCCCCCTCCATTGACATACCTAACTACTGGTTTGATTGGTCTTGAGAGTTTGTGGACTCTCTACCTTGAAGGTCTTTAAACAAAAAATCAAACCAACCAGCCGAATCCTATAATATTTTGAAAGAATGTAAAGAATTCTTAGGCATACGAAGAATCATGTTGGGAGAGGAAGTTGTGGGAGAAACACTTCAACATTGCAGGGATTTTAAGAACTTAGCTGTTCTTGCATATTTTTGTAATGCATTGTGTCAGATCGTTAACACTTTCTTGTACTTCATTTAGGAGTGCGTCTCTTGATGTAGAGCCAATATATACCTTCAGAGCACATAAGTGAGTATTTCCTCAGAAGCCTTGTCATATTTTGAGAAATACATGATTTTTAAACACAGATTTATTTTTTTTTATGCAGTTCCCACCTTGTCAACTGGTGATTTTATGTGGAGCTTTTAGTTCCCGTGTTATGCAGATGTTTATCTCCTTTGTGCATAATTATTTATATCTGGAGCTAGGTACACCACAGTTTTAAAAAGAAAAGCCTACAAATTATACAGTTCAAGTTTGATTAGGTGTTCTTTTTGTCAGATATGTGCATTTGTAGAATGAAGCTGTTGGCAGTGAATCTACTGAACTCATTTCACGAAGGAGCCTTACATCTTTAAAAAAGGGAAAAAAAACTGTTTATGCAAAATAACACAGCCTGTATTTGAAAGTGTGACACTTATCATATTTCATGTGCACAATGATTAAATTGTCCAAGTTGCAGATATGTTATCAAATATCACAAAGGTTTTTCTGTGGGAAGTGTTGTAGCATATGATCTAACTGTGCAGTATTTTTGTTGCAGTCCATGCAGCAAGTGAATTGTATCTAACAGGGAAATTTTAACAGTTTGTTGACATTGCTTTACATATAACGAAAACATTAATAATCAATGTTTCTTTTGTGGGGCTTTCTTCCAGTGGACCAGTGCTCTGTGTGGTGATGAGCAGTAATGGAGAACAGTGTTATAGTGGGGGAACAGATGGCCTCATCCATGGCTGGAATACAACTAACCCAAACATTGACCCCTATGACTCTTACGGTACGTTGCTGTCACACACACCAGTGAAATGATACATTTAGTGGCATTAATGTTATGTGGCTAAAACAGTATGACTTGCTTCTTTGAAAAGATAATGTTGACTTCAATTACTTTAAGTAAATTTTTGTTTTAATATTGATGCTGGGTTGAAAAAGTACAGGACTAAACCTGTTACTTGGCAGAACAGCAAATGTGTGTTTTAATGTTCAGTCCTTGTAGCTTCAGATGCAGTTTTCCTTAAAGGTGGCTTTTGGAAGAAAGGAACTGATGTGCCATTAATGGTTGTTTGAAAGTGAACTTTAAAATCCAGGAGTATTTTGCCAAGTTTGATACTGTCCCTTCTGCTGAAACATTGGTTTGTTCCATTAGTTTTAAATTGGATAAGTGAATGCCATGTATGATGATGAAATTCATAACTGAGAGTTCTGTATTGTTATGATACGACCTCTGTAATTATACTGGTCTTGAGGTTTTTGTTTTCTTTTGTTTTGTTTTTATGGTTGGCTTTTTAAGGTTGATCCATGAACAACAACAAGGTACAGCTATTGATTTAATTCAAATCTTGTTTTGAAATGTGTTTTGCTGTGTTTTTTTCACAGATCCTTCTGTTCTAAGAGGTGCTTTTGTGGGCCATACAGATGCGGTGTGGGGTCTGGTTTACAGTGGAGCACACCAGCGTCTGCTCTCCTGTTCAGCAGACGGCACTATACGTCTATGGAAAGCTACAGAAATTGCTCCAGCTCTCAATATATTTAATGATAATCAAGGTACAGAAAATTGCCCTACCTTGAAGTTCATGAGCATCACTGTGCAGACTGCCATAGTTTTTTGCTATGGAATAGAAATTCTTGCTCTTGCTGGATTTTTTATCTTTATGATTGTTTTGGGGGAAGAGTAAATTTGGGTCCTTCTTTGGCACCAGTGGAATGGATACCTACATGCAGTGGAATGATGACATACATCTAAAAGCCAACTGCAGATAATCTGCTGATGTTAGTAGAACTGTGGAGTATATTATATTAACTCTGTCGGTCTCATTCAAACTGAGTTTCCATTAAGCTCTTGCTTTTGATTTGTTCATAATAAAAAGCCTTCTCTTCCCTCAAAAGAGGTTTGGAGTAGCCAGTGCTTCAGCTCTGGCCATTGTCATTGTACCTTCCAGATTCCTTCCTTGTGCCTCTAACAGAGCGATTCCAGTTGAATTTCTGAGTTTGTGCCTTAACTAAATTGCAATAACCTAGTCATCTTAAACACTAGTAGTTGAAAAAACTTACTCCTTTGGATTTAGTTACTGAAATGTCATGCAAAAATCAAAATCTTATTGTTTAGAGCCTTTTTTCTTGAAGTCACCGTCTTAAGTGTTCTAGAATGAGCCTGTTGACATTGCTAGGATCTCTTAGAGCTCATGGTCCTAAAGGCAACCCATGAACGGAGTCAGTTCCTTGGCCCTTCAGAACAACTTTGATCAAAATAAACTTCAGCATAACTGAACTGTCTTACTGAATTATGGTGTAAACCTTGTCAGATTTGCCATTGCATGTGCCATGTGCTGAAATAGACTAGGCAAAATAGAAACGTTTCATGCATTTTAGTTCTTGCAGAACTGTGTTTCAAAAGTTTTGCAGGGTCTGTGAAAAACACAGCTGCTTTGCTGCTAGATTGTCTACTTGTCTACTTTGAAAACTCACTGGTAGTCCGTTTTGTCTCTATGTTCTGGGTTTCTGTTTGTTTATTTGTTTCTTTTTTATTTGTTTGTTAATTATTAAATTAAGGGGACAGGGGAAGCAGTCTTGCCTTTCATTCAACTGGAATGAAACCCAGTTGTTGAAATTCAGGGGTCCTCCTTTGAAACTGAGCTTTCCTGTGGCTTATGGAGAGCTTTGAAACTCTGAAAAAGCTAGCAGTTGTCACGTAAATCCTTTAGATTAACCACTGTAGGCTTACCAGGAAGTTGGAGGTAAGCAGGCATGGCAGTGGTAGAAAAGGTCACTTCAAAAAATATGCATTTTCTTCTCATCTCACACAAATCCTTTGGGCTGTTTCTGAAGTACTGTAGATATGTACCACCATTCCTGAGCAAACGTTGCTGAGGCTGTGTGTACAAGAGAGATGTTTCTCCCATGAATCTCAGATTTAGAGAGAGGTGATGATATTCTTGTGTTACATGGGTCTATGGACATTAACTTGCTTAACTTTCAGTGTCTCTCTCTCCACCTCTTCCTCATCTTCCTTCTGGCATTTGTTGCAGCCGCTTTTCTTTCACATAGCATGTGGTGAACAGGACAGTCGAGGAGAAAAATTTGAAGTGATATTTCCTATACCTAAGCTCTGCTGATTTGGCCTTCTGTCCTGTAGTGTTGTGATAGCTAGAGTGTAAAGAGATTGGAAGTATACCATAACAGGCAGGACGGATGAGGCTTTATAATATGAGTTTGTTTTGTATTCATGTAACTTTCCATGCTGACAGTATCAGCTTATAAACTTTGCACCTGGAAAGCTTTGGGTATTTTTTAAGATCTGAATTTGCCCAGGTTAACAATAATGTTAATCATCTGTCCTGCCAGTAGTTTTACCACTTCAGTTTCACACCCTTTTACTTGATGCAATGGAGCTGTGTTTGAGAATTGCCTTTACAGTTAAAGGAAGGAAAAGGAGGCAGAGAGTTCTTACTCTTAGTTTCAAAATAGATTTTTGTCCAGCAGCAGTTCCAGATGCAGCATCTTAGTGAAAAACATTGTTGATATGCATGTCAGAGAAATAGGATTACAATAGTGATTAAAGTGGGCAGTCTTTAGATTGGCATAATATAGCAACATTTCTTTTCATAGATATTTGATATAGACCTTTTGATATTAAAGTGCTTACTGGGTGGGGTTTTTTGTTTGTTTGTTTTGCTGGGCTTTTCTGTTGTTTTCTCTACACCAAGTAAATATTATGAAAAGATTATCTGCATTTTTTTCCAGAAATGGGAATCCCTTCATCAGTAGATCTTGTGAGCAGTGACCCAAGTCTGATGGTAGCATCATTTAACAGTGGACACACTTGCATTTTTAACATGGAGACACGGCAGCGAATTCTTACCCTGGAGTCCAGTATGGATACTAGTATGTATCGAATTAAAAACCAGTCCCCCAAAAAATTGCTTGTTTAAGGTTGATACTGTTGGTAGTATTTTTGGTGTTAAGGAACAAATAGGCAGTGTTGTGATAAATTATAACATGAATTATGTTACAGGCTGTATTTGAGATGTAACAGTGAAGTACTACTACTACAACAGACCTTGTGGGTATCTCAGAAGAGTGCACATAATTTTGAAAGAAGGTAGAAGAAACAAACCCACACTATCTGAATTCCTCTTTCAGGAACAGTAGCACAAGGAAAAGTGCAGGTCTCTAATACAGCCCAGTGATCTTAGCAGCTTCAAGATTTCCATTCTCTCTTTAGTCCAGAATTGCAAGATAGAGGTAATATCAGGAAAATCTAAAGCTGAATTTGTTAAAAATGTGGAAGTGTGTGCATGTATTCTTTTTTATTTTTATTTTTCCTCTTTTATTTTTGTATCCCTCTTCTGAATTATATATACACTTTTACCTCATTTGCAGTTGAGCTTTAGTTGAAGTTTTCACTGTATGAGAAAAGCAAAGCTTCAGTGGAAGACTATTCACCTGTATAATGCTTTGAATCAGGGCAGAGGCCAATATCAAAAGTTTTAGAGGAAACTGGCAGTATGATAGAGACCAGAATGAGCTGAAACATGAGGTTTCATATTCAGGCCAAATGGTAACCTGGTAACAATGAAAGATTTTAGTCTTTTTAAAAATTTTGATAATTCTTCCATCTAAAAGTTTTATGTCACTCAGTTCTACTATTATTTTTTTTTAAAGGGAGTAAGCCCTTCTTGTTGGCTTTGGTTGTCTGTTTTAAAATAGTTAAATGACTCTCATTTAATGAAAGGGAATGGAAAGTGCCATCTCCCTTTGTTGTATAACTCCTTATTGTATAGGATTTCTTTTTTTTTTAACCCACGTATTTGTCCCTGTCTGAAAGAACAGTCCTAAATCAGTTCTCTCTATTCCGTGGAAGGAAGTTACCTTTGTTCTTCCCCATTTCTCCTCCACTGTATATAAGCTTCACTGTGCTTGGCATGTTAAAACTGTGAGGATAGCAGGTTGTAATGCAGTCTCATTTCCTCTTAGTAATTTTAGGTGGGTTTCTTAATATGAATGTGGTTTTTCCTTAATTTACACTTTGATAGTTGTTAAGTGTCCTGTGGATGCTGACCCTATTTGACGGTTCAGGTTTTTATAGAAGGATGTAAATTTAAGTCTTTACTACCTTACTAGTGATTGTGCAGTAGTATTTTGTTTATTTTAGTAAGAATTTAAATTAGACAGTATGAGTGTTCTTTGGCAGCAGTTTAACTAAATATAGTCAACTCCCACATGAAGGAAGATAATAATATTTTGATGTTCTGCAGTGTGGCTATTTGTGTTTTTGTGGTAATCTGTGCCTCTTAAGACTGTTCTTGCACTACTCTCTGCATCACAGCAATGCCTAGATTTCTAATCAAAAAACTCCTGTAATTTTTGTGTGGTGTGTGTATGTGTATATATATATGATATTTCAGGATTCTTGAAGTCTAGCAAAAGTTGCTCTCATATGAATAGTCTAGCATTCTTTTCTTCAATAACAATTTTAATCCATGTGTATTAGATAATAGTAGGTGGGTTTTGGTTTGTGAGAATGAGGGCATGGGATCTTGTTTGCTTGGAAACATACTGCCTGCAGTGTTAATTTTATTTTATTGGCTGTGTGTTATGAAAAAAGTTGGGCTTGACAAGAGGAATGTGGAGGTAGGGAAGTTCACATAAGGTATTTTTACTCAGTTTTTGGCTTCATGTTCTTGCCTGGTGCAGCCATCTAACACCATGGCTAAAAGTTGGACCTTACCTGTTCCTATTCACACTCATAGATATGGCTTATGTATGCCTGTGTGTGTGTGTGTAATTTGGAAAGTATTTTAAAGTAAACCACATTACAGAAGGTTCTAGCTGAGAGTTCCCATTACATAAAGGTAAGAATTATTTTGCAAATAAGTTTGATTGCATAATTAATTCTTAGTAGCAATCTTTCAAAGAACTTAGCAATTTACATGTATTGGGATATGTGGGTTTTTTCTTAGCAGTCAGTTCCTCATGTCAGATAAACAGAGTCATCAGCCATCCAACTCTTCCGATTAGTATCACTGCCCATGAAGACAGACACATCAAATTCTACGACAACAATACAGGTATGCTCTCTTCAGCAGGTGCTAGTCATAGTGGCTGCACAACATCAAATGTAAACAGAATTCCATTATGATTAATATTATTTACATAAATGCTGAGGGATGTTAAGAATTCCCTAGTCTCAAATAGGATAACTCTCAGCACCAGTAGAGCCCAAAGATTGACAGCCTACTTAAAACTTTATTGGCACAGTGATAAGGAAGCTGTGTCATTCTCTTTTAAAATGCCTTGTGTATGGGGGTTACCAGTTTTTAACATAAATGGCAGCTTTTTCAAAATCTTAATGTTTTTGTGTTTATTTTGTTGTGTTCTCTGTTATTTTGATCTGAGGGCAGGAAGGTCTGGCACTCATTTAGTGCTTCCAGGAACTCTGCCTGATACCTCGGAGGTAGAAGTTCCCTTGTAGGCATTATTCTCACTTTGATCCACTGTGTTTCTTCAGTTCTCTCACTTCTGCAGACACAGCTGGACAGCTTATAACAGTTTTTTGCTTTTGTAGTGAGAGTCACACTGAGATGTCTAGTTATAAATTTCTTGGGGTTTAAAAGACTTTTTGTTAGGAATGGTATAATCAATCAGGTATCAAATCATAATAATCTTTAGTTTGTGACAGATCATGCTATCTTAAATTTAGATCTTTCGATAGCCTTGTTGATTTTAAGTTTGTATTGTAAAATAAGAAAGAACCAATAAAAGCTGAGAAAAAAGCTGAAATAGCTGTTTTGTTTGATGATGTATTTTTGGAAAAAAATAGTAGAGAAAATGGGTACTCTTCTTTTTTTTTCTCCTGTTTAAGTATCTCCTGCAATGAAACCCCCACATTTGACCCATGATCTAATATTTTTAACATGAACTCATTCCTGTAATTGTAATAAGTTGTAATAAAACGTTCATCATGAGTTGACTAAATTTTCCTATATTCTTATATCCATTGTTTATTAGTACACTCAGCCCCTGCCCTTCTTCCCAGTCAAGATCTTACTCTTGAATTCTTTTAATTTATTTAAGAGGCAAATATTTAACATGCACAGTGATGGTGGCTTCATGGTGGTTTTGCAGACATAAAACCAAGAACTAACAGAACTAGTGATATTGGTACTGTGGTTCTCCTGGGCCTGTAAATGATTAAAAGAATGACTTACTGCATAATTTTAATGATTCAGTAATGGGACAAGGTCTTGTATTTATAATAGGAGCTGTGTTAGGGTTTAAGCAGTGAATACAGATAACAAAGTGGATTGCAGAAAATAACCTAAAATAACCAAAATAATTTTTTTTTTTTTTTTTTCAAAGGAAAACTGATCCACTCCATGGTAGCTCACTTAGATGCAGTTACAAGTTTAGCTGTTGATCCTAATGGCTTGTATTTGATGTCTGGCAGTAAGTACATTCAGATTTCATTTTCTTTTTCTCATAATGTTGGCAGACCTGACAATTATAAAGAAAACTGTTTACCCTTTCTTTAGGTCATGACTGTTCGATTCGCTTGTGGAATCTTGAAAGCAAGACCTGCATCCAGGAATTTACTGCTCATCGTAAAAAATTTGATGAGTCCATTCATGATGTGGCATTCCACCCCTCCAAATGTTATATTGCCAGTGCAGGAGCAGATGCCCTGGCTAAAGTGTTTGTATGACAGAGTGCTTCCCTTTCAACTCTAGCTTTGTATATATTTAACCAGCTGCACAAAAGAGAAGAGGACGGTGTGAGTCTTCTTACCCTGCCCTGTAATTCAGAGAATGTTTGTAAGTGTTTAGTTTTGCAGGGTGCTGTTTTCTAAACTGAAGTTTGTTCTGGTTTCTGTGAGCTCAGCTGGTGCTGAGAGCTTGGAAACTCTCAGTTTCAACTACTTAAAAATCAAAAGAAATGCTTTTATTTCAGAGGGTGTGAATTTTCGTCCAGGCAGGCCTTGGGTGAAACTAGGTCTATGTATTATCTTATTAATAAAATGGAGTACTGGAAAAAAGGGGTCTAATTGCATCAGGGAGTAGGAAAAGAGGGAAACTTCCTAGGATGCTGCTCATTGAGGAATCTTAATGTACTTAAATCACCTGGAAAAAGTGTCATTTCACATGCTCATTTCTGTGTCATGTGAGAGGCACTTTGTCATCCCTTTGGTATTAATAAAGTAGATGTTGTTCAGACACCAGTAATGGATAGTTAATCTCAGCCACGTGGCTGCTAGCCTAAGATAAATGCAGTTAAAGGAAAGCAAATTACTAACATAAATTAAAATGCAGTAACGTTTCTGTTGCATCTACTGTGTTATACAGGAATTATTTAGTTTGCAAAAAAAAATATATATTTTTTTTTAAAACTGTATTAGCATGTAGCTAGAAGCTGAGCCTTTAGTCTATTCCCAATTAACAACAGACTGAAGCAGTCTGTATATACTGTAGTAGGAGATTTAACTTATTCAGATTTATAATGCTGTTTATTCTTGGAGATCTGGCACAAGAAATTATCACAAAGTTTTCTGAAAAAGCTGTCGTACAACTTATCTATCAAACGTTCATCTCCTCTTTCCGTTCCTGTTAAAAAAAGGGCATCATTCTGGGCATTAAGGGTAACAGTGAAATACTTCTTTTGAAGATTAAGCCTATACCTGATGCTTTGTATGAGTCCTATTAGTGCAGTAGGTGGGAACTATACAAAGTTTTGTCAAGTTGAGATATTTTGCTACTTCTAGGAGTATTTCCCAGCTTCACCATTTCTGCAGCTTTTTAACTTGTCTGCTTCACTAAGTGTATCATGCCATTGATTAAGTTATCTGTGTCCCATCTTACTTAGCGGGGGTGTGGGGGAGGTGACCTTTTACAATACCCTGTGTGGTTTGTGAGAGAAACCACAGGCACTCCAGAGGTTGAAAATGAAAGAACTCATTTTATTGTAAAACTTCCCTAAACTGTGTCAGGAGGAACAAAAGTCTTGGCAAGTTCTTATTCTTATAAAAGATCCAAAGTAGAGGGAGAAAAGGAGAAAGGAAAGGAGGAGACAGAACAGAGAGATAGGTTCACCACCCCGTGGATCTAGTGACATCTTCTCGGTCAGCGAGTTGAAGTGCTTTTAGTCAATGAGTCAGCTGAAGTCCAGGGTGGAGAAGCACACCACACGACTGAAGAATGATTGCCTTTTTATAGGATCAGGTTCCTTGGACTCCTCCCACAGATTCATCTGCACGCTTGCCCATGAGTTGTGTGCTATTCTGGAAAGTTCCTCATGGTGGTAGGGGTATGTGGTAAGCCCCCACATCCACTTAAGTTTGTGCTTTGACGAGTGCAGGCTCAGTGCCTTGTAGCACTGTCTCCAGGCTGTTTGTTGCCTAAGGAGTTGATATCCACAGCCTTAGGGCAGCCAACACAGGAAAATACCCCCACCTCTCGTGGAGCATGACTTTGTCCTGCCTCCCTGACAGTTTGCTCAATCACAAGATGCTCAAGAATGAAGTGAGGCGTTACATATGTTCTGTGTGAATGTCAGGGAGGGAAGGTTTTGTCCCCAAAAATCATTATCAGTTTCCTTGTAACAGGCAAAATGGGTGTTAGGTAATCCCAGAGAAAAATTTTCTCCAGAGCATTCAGTTGTTTCCACCTTGTCCTTGACCAAAAGATGGTCAGCCCTTAATATGTGTGGTCCTTGAATTTCCAAACTGGAGGAAGAAGGACATGAGGCTGTCTGTTTGTTAGTTATGAGTCAGATTGGTGTTACAAAAAATCTCAAGCCCTGCTCCGAGGAGGTTGGAAGAGTTACACAGGTACTTCGATTGGTCCTATTCCATATTCGTACAAATCCCACACTAAGTGGGGGAATCCTCTTCTCTCATTGCAATTCTTATGTACACAAGACAAATCACACAAGGTAGTGATTGCAGCAAACCTATATACATACTTTAAAGTTACTAGTTTTTAAACTATGGACTATACAATCAACAGGAACCTAACTAACACAGATGCTTGAAGTGGACTTCGTAATTCAGTAGATTCCCCTACCTGCAATAGGAAACAAAGAAGAACTGGGTCCTTTCAGAACCAAGGGAACTTCTCCAACTGGTGGCATGTCCACCAGTACTGGTTGGCGTGGATAGTATGAGGGGTTCTTAGGATCATCTGGTTCTCTGTTCTTGGGAAGGATGTGGGGAACCTTATGGCAAAGTGCCGTAAGTTGTGGACATGCCACATATTGTTCACTTTTGTCACCACATTCCAGAGTCAAACAGACCTCCCTGGGTCTTGGGGTCTTAGTCTCCAGAAAACCTAAAGTCCCAAAGTGTATTGCAATTCCTTTTTACTTTGCTCCTGTATTGTAGATACAGCAGTGAGGGGGCCGGTGTTTGCATTCAGGCAGTGATAGTCAATGGTCAGTTGCCACTTTCCATTTGGTTTATGAACTGGCCATATGGGAAAATTGTAAAGTGGGTGGGTTTGGATGACATGACTGGGGGGATCCCTTCTCTTGGACCCAGTGGTAAGTGGTGCAGCTTTACATTTACAGTCTTGGATGAGGGAAGTTTGGGAGCGAATTGCAAAAAAGAAATCTCCATTTGTTCCCCTTAGAATCCATCTGAGCTTTTCCTTTTAATAGAACTATCCCCAGTATACTGGTGGGGAACATGCCCAGTATCAGGATAGTCTCTGGAGGAGTGGAGTCATCAAGTAACTAATATTTTATCCAAGCTGTGGGTTGGTGTTTAGAGTATCCTAACACATCAAAAACTTGTATTTGTTTTTTGTCACACAACCACTCTGCTTTGCTGCCTCAGCATTTAAAGCTGACATTTGGACTCCCATATCTGCTACAAAGGCCACAGCATAAAGTTTTAAAGAATCATCTAGTCCTCTAATCAGAGGAGTCATCAGGATTAGCCATAAGCAACATGGGGGAAGGTTGCTGAGGTATAAGCAATCTGTCATGCATTAACTGAAGGCAGACTGCTTTCTGTATGCTTTCAGTAACTGACCCAGACCAAGGGTAGGTGTGGATGTGGGGTTTCTCTGTTGTATGGATCTAGTTCTTCTCCCCAGTATGCCACTCACAGGGCCAGGTACCAGGGTTTCCTAATATCATCTACTGTTAGAAATACCCACAGGCCCCAGTATCCCTGAGCTGCTGCTTCTTCTGAGAGCTTTATCCTATCCCATCCAATCCCCTCCATACATATTTTGTTTCAGCTTACCTGCATGCTATGTTTTTCCTGTAACTTGGCCATTCAGTGGCACTACAAGGTATTGCCTTTATGGTGAGAGTTTTAATGAGTGGTTTAAGTTTAGGGTTGGAAAGTAACTCAGTCCTGGCTTCTTTTAGACCTTTCCAGTGGTAATGAGACATGACTTCCCTGATTGAGGAGATTGGCCTGCATAGCAAGGAATCAATTCTAATAGAGTCTCATTAGGTTCTTTTTCAATTTGCTTAATATTATGCTTATCTTTCTGGGTGGCTATTAAGGTTGTCCCTAACATAGTACAAATCACATCTTTTCCCTTTCCAGGTTTTGTTCGATTTTCTTTTGCCAAGTCCTTTATTCTTCCTGCCACAGTTGCGGGAACTGCCAGTGTTCCTCAGCCCTGCTTACCCTCCTCAGGGTCAGGGAAGCCTTAGAACTCTTCAACAAATCCAATAATAGGGAGCAGTCAACGTCAGGCATTTCCTCGATTGCCATGACCCTCAGCTGGAGATTTTGGCTTCAACCAAAAATCAGTTCTTCTTTATCTGACATTCTGACCATTATCCCCTTAAAAAAACAACCTCTGAACTGCTTCTCACAGAGTATCCTGCTGACTATGCCAATGTTAATGTCCTGTCCTGCTCGGCAGGTGTGTGGGGGAGGTGATTTACAATACTCTGTGCCGTTCACAGAGCCATTTCACAGCCTGAAGAATGAGTGCTTCTTGTAATTACTCAACAGATGTGATTTATGTATTCAGAGCTTCTCTGTTGATTTGAATGACATCTAATGCAATCTTTTAGTCTTTTATCCCTTCTTAAAGGAAGGTCTGTGGATTCTTTTCTGTGTCATCATCAGAGTCACTGCTGCTCATAAGCCTGAAGTTGGTGTTTTCCTAGTGGGAAGGCAGAATTTCTGCTACAGATGGTTTCTGATGCTGATGTGAATAGGAAAGAACCCAGTGCAAGTCTTCCACATACCAGCCTAAGCTTAAGACTGGAAATTGATGAATAAATCTTTACCTTTAAACTGACACTTTTTAAAAAGGAATCATTGAATCATTGAAAGATACCAACATAGAGTTTGACTGTGTTGTTTTTAGAGTGGCATTTGGGAATGGGACCACATTCGAAGCTGATCTCAGAGTTTAAATCAACTGTATTATTTAGAATAAAAGGGTGACCTGTGCTGCTTGAGCCTGCAACACATTATATTTACTGCTAAAATATCCTGGAATACCTTTTATTGCTCAGAATATTCAGGTATGTCCCTTCATGATATTGATATGCAATATATTTCCATAGATGAGATTAGAACTTTTACCGTGAAAAAGATGACTACAATAGTAATTCAGATTATTTAGTTTTTATAAAGTGTTTTGGTTATGATGGAAAGGGGAAACTTGCCTGCAAAACTGAGCATTCGGCTTTGAGAGTTCTGTGTACTTGACTCATATTCTTTCAGTGTCATTATTTTATTTCTTTTTGAAGAGGAAATTACAAAGATTTATTTGAAAAATTCTAAAAGTTATGTATATTATATATGTGTATATATATTGTAAACATGTATTAAATGTGTCTAGTAAGGGAAGACTCCATGGGTGCGTTTTAATGTTTTGGTATTAAGAGTTCTCTTGAGTTTATGTATACAAAGGATAATGGTGTGAGTATGAAATGAATGTTGTGCTTTTGCTTACACAATATGATATGTAGTTACAGTTGTTTAAATTGCTGTACATAAAACTAATAGGCCAGCATGCTTGTTTTTAAAGACTGTCATTCTGATTACAATTGGAATGTAAGAAGTGGCTGTTCAAATGTGAATTGAAAGATGTTTCCTTCTCACTATTGAGCGCTTGCTCAAACTGAAAAGTGATTCTTTTTTTTTTAAAGCTGGCAATAGCTAGGGGATGAGGTGCCTTTAAAAAAACATAACAAAACAAATGTAGCCTTACAAAGAGGTTGTGGAGTATATATATTTTTGTGCTGGTCTTCATAATTGATGTCAATGTCTTTTTACTGTACTTGCTCTCACATACTTGTAGGACTGCAGGGTACTGTGCATGAGCCTGTCAGATCTTCTGAACATCATCATAGGACTTAGGGATCAAAAAATTACTTAGGTTATCTGGTCCATCTGCTTGCTAA